TTGGTGTGCACTGATCAGTCTGTTCACGGAAAGAGCCAGAAATCTCCCCTTATGTACAGAAGTCTTCTAAAGCAAGGATCATTGTGTTAGGATGTGCATTGACTTTAGTAAGCTTTCTCGGAGTATCAAGTATTCAGTAAAAAGTACACAACATCATCACGCGCGCCGTGTTGTTCGACAATAGCCTATTGGTTTTAAGATGAAACTATATAAAAAAGGTGAACATAAAAAGATACAAAAGAAGTCTTTAACGCTATTTACCACTTTCAAACGAGAGACATTGTAAGGAAAGTCAGCCATACTTCACGGAACATCTGGCGTTTGAGATCAGTAACTTTTAATATTGTGCAACATATTAATAAGCAAGTGTTAATTCCATTCATTGAAAGACAAATCTGAGTAAGTTATTAAAGTGCCTACACTAAATGTCTCCTCGTCCTACTGCCTATTCTCTTGTAAACCGCCAGGACTCCGCGTCGCCGCGGGAGACCAGCAAAGGGACTCATAACTGCGAGACCTTGCGGGGCAGGGGCCGGGGGCGCGGGCCGGGCTCAGTCCTCCGGGTCCCGTTCTCCAGGTGGCCGGGCCGCGCCGCCAGCGGCTTGGGGGGCAGTGCGGGCGGCTCGGCCGTGACCGGGATGGAGAGGCTGTGAGGTAGCGGGACCGGCCGCCGCAGAGTCCGCTCGTACACGCTATAGGGCGGCGGTGTTTTGCTCTCCTTGCGCCCCGGCTCCTCCGGCCCGCTGTAGCTCGGCCCCGGCCCCGGCGCCAACTGTTCATTCACCTGATTTTCGAAGCCTGAGGTTTCCGAGGTGCTACACCGGCTGAGCGAAGAAATCCCACTGCTGTAGCTGCCCGAAAGGACCGGGGAGTTGGAGATGAGTCCTGGGGAGTGGTACTCCACCGGAGAGGGGGTGAAAGACTGCACGGAGCCCTGCTCGAAGGCGAGAGAAAAGACGCAGGGAAGACGGCAGAGTCATCAACACTGTCCCGGGCTGCCCGCGAGCCTCCCGCCCTGAACCCCAGCCCTCATCCCCGGCGCTCTTAACGGGACTGTACGTGGAGACAGGGCCTTGAAGGCGGTGGGGGCGGGGGGGGTACCTTAAAAGTGAGGCCTTTCCGGTAGGCCCTTGTCTGATCTGACTGGTGTCCTTACGGGAAGAAATTTGGGTAGAGAGGCCCCAAAGGTGCAAAGACCGCGCATTAAAGCAGAGGGAGAAGGCGGCCCATCTGCAAGCCAAGGAGAGGGGCCGCGGGAGAAACCAGGTCTCCCGACACCTTGTTTTTGGATCCTGCAGCCTCCTGAACTGTGAGGAAATCCATCCCTGTTGTTGAAGCCGCCCACACTGTGGCGCTTACTTCTGGCAGCCCTGCTGTGGGACTAACGCACACAACCCAGCCTCAGATCGGAGGCCTTGTCCTCTCCGCAGCAAGACGGACCTCGGGCTTTCACCTGCTATCCCCTCCGTTCACCTTGCTGGCCATTCTACTCTTTTTCGGGGCAGAAAGAAGCTAAAAGTAATCAGGAAGAAAATTCAGAAGGGTATAATTAGTCCCATCATTTGAAAGATGGGGAACCCGCAGAAACAACAGAAAGCTTGGGCCTGTGCCGTTTTCCCTTTCTAGCTCAGCAGGGATGGGCAGAACTGGAGGACAGGAGCCGGGGCAGCCTGACGTGGGTGAGGCTCCTACCAAAGACCTCCGGAGGAGGAGTGAGGCACCCTAGGCTTGCACTTCAGTTCTCTCCCATTCCTGACCCCTGAGCTGAAGCAGCAGCACTCCGGCAGCTCTGGGGCTCCTCTCCGGCTCTAGACTGAAATGGGACCTGTTTCTTCTGGCACATTTTTAAAGAAACGGACTTGGTTACTAATTTTGTAAAATAGGAAGACTTCTCATAAAACCCCAATATTTTTGGCATTATGTAAAAAAAAAAAAAATAGCAACAACGGCTTGCTTTCTCTTAATGGGGACAATCTTTTGAAACAGGAGGGGTTTTCCCCTGGAGATGGGGCATGGATTCTGCAGTTGACTTTGGTCTTCACATTGTGTTCTACCAGCCTCCTTTGTTCACATATGTTAGCGGTCTACTCTGTTGGCTACTCTGAATTTGCTAATACCCCAACTGGTGTCCTACGGAAAAGGAGTCCTAAGTGATGCTCTGTGAGAGCAGGGTTCTACTGGGAAATGCTGCATATTGTGTGCTCCTTGAGTGCATTTAAAGCATAGTAGCATGTTAAAGTCTTACAATCAAGAAAATGAAAGGATACCTCAGCCTTGGGTTTTCTAAACTTAGTTGACCACAGACCACTTTTTTATTTATTGTGTAATGGCCTCTAAAACTATACCCTATGGAGAGCATTTCTGAAATGCTATCCTAGACTAACTCTACCTTGGTCTCTCTTTTTAAACAAAATAATGCTGGGAGACACAAACTCATTTAGCAGGAGCCTAAAATGAAGTGTTGCCAATTAGGGGATCCAAATTCACTGCTGTTCACTGTCAAAAATCAGACTGCAAGTTTAAGTAAGGCAGGTAAGCTCAGTCTTCGCCACAGGATTAACTCCATCATTTAATTGCTGAAAAAACTGAGTTAAGGCAACAAACTGCATTCTAGGCATAGCAAAGATCATAACTTGGTAGCACTGTGCCCCCTAATGTAACACAGGAGTCATAACAGAAATATGCCATTTGTTTTCTCTCCAAACCCTGTTTGTGTAGATATGGCTGCAGAGCTACCCCTGGCCAGTAAGAACATCACCAGCTCTGCAGAGAGAGAAACCATATGCCACCTTACCAAACGGGACTGTTTGGTAGCTGCTTGAATATTCTCATGCCTTCAGTTCTTTTTACAGAATCAGTCTCGTAGACTTGCCATCTTACTACTCTACAAAATCAAGTTGGAAAATGCAGATGTTAATTGCATAGCAATATGTGGGAGCTCCTTGCGAGTAAGGCCAAATGTAAGATATGGAAACATCATGTTGCTTCCTTTCCCATCACAGCAACATGACAGTCTACGGCTGCCCAAGCTAATGCAGTCATGGGTACGTTATGATTAACAGCTGCATTGCAGAATGACCAAAAAAAAAAAAAAAAAAAAAACCACACACAAAAAAACCCAACCGACCCCCTCCCAAAACCCCCAAAAAACCAAACCAGCAAATAATTTGCACTCTCCAGCAAATTTCTACATCAGAAACGTTGGCAATGCAAATGAAATCACACTTCTTTGCAATTTTCTCCATTTGGGGGCTTTTGTTTTCCAGAGTCTCAGTTTCTATCAGCAACTATCCTTAGCAACACAGATGCACTGGATCACGACCTGCCCCTGTGTGTTTTTAGAAGCTAATTTGTCTCTTTCTTTCACATTACTGAGAAATACCTTCTCAACAAAAAGGACACGGAGCATGTAAATCCTCACTCAGATTCAAAATCATTCTTTTAACACCCACTTCAACCCCATATTTGCCTCTGGTGCGGCGGCTCTGAACACCAGTGTCTGTAGGTATTGACAATCCCTGCAGCCAGTCCCTGATTCAATTTGGATAGAGACTAAATGTTATTCTTTACCTTCATGAGGGATTTTGTATGTTTAGAGATGTTAAATAGCCTACGTTTACCTATCAATTTAAAGCTCTTCAATTTGTTTCCTAGAAATTTTACTCCTTTTACTGTCTTGTTTTTCATGATGAAGTATGTATCTCAAATGTAAATGAAAACATTCGTATAAAACATGGAAGGAGAAAACGTCGGGTTTGACTTTGTCAAATGGTTGGGGCTGACAGAAGCAAAAAGGCCCAGGAGACCCTTTATTGGGTTTGATGGCTGAGTTTTTAAATTTTTATTTCTTTCTCTTTTTTTGATGTCCCTGAAATCAAAAGGCCAGACTGAAAACATCCTAGGAAATTCAGTGGGACCATAATTCTTTCCTAATTCAGTGTATAAGGAGATTCTAGTCCATACATTTTCACTGCCACTATTTGGGGAATGAGGCCAATAACCCGAACACAGAGGGCTGCCTGATGGAGGAGGCTCCCTGACAGGAAAGCCTGTTTTCTTACCAATCTTCCTTCACCCCTTCTCTGGGTGTTCTTTGCCTGATCTGTACCTATGAAAGCAGCTCAGTGATGAACCACAGATGAATCGAAAGGAAAGAAGGAATGTGGAGCTAGTTTCTAGCCTGAGTCTAAAATATGAGTCTGTACCTTCAATGGAGATCTCCCAGCAGGTGAGGGGGACACTGACGTTGTATGTCTTGCTGGTGAAGCTGTAAACAGAGAGAAATGCTTTGAACTGAGAAAAACCAGAAGGTTCACTAGCTGCACATGCCTTCTGTGTACAAACCCATATAGATGGTCCAGTGCCTAAAGACCTCCTAGGCAAGGGGTGGGGAGATAGGGGAGAAACTAAATGATGCCTGTCCGAATCAGTCTCCTCACCAAGACATGGGAGAATTAGTGAAAAGTCACCAGCACATACATGATGGTATACAGAAGTGACAGGAGCTCGAACTGGTCCAATGTCCCATTTTCCAGAAGCCCAGATGCTTTTCCACTGCCTGATCTGTTTCAAAAGGTGTTTTTAGGTGTGATGTGCCAGGGAGAGGCTTTGGAAAATAGCTGCTGACTTTGAGCAGCAATGGGGACACTCATGCCACCTAGGCAGGTTAGAAGGGATCCATGAGAATAAACTGACACCAGCCCACCCACCCTCACATCCAGTACTCCCCAAACAGAAAACCCTTGGCCACATCCAAACAAGAAGTGAGAAGTTTTCCATTTTCCCCCTTCATGCTTGTACTCAGGTCTTCCCTTTGTCCCAGGGTGGTGGGGGCAGGGCAGGATGGGGTGGGGGTGGTGCTCTATGGATGTCATCATTACAGCAAAGAAGTGCTGTCTATTTCTCCCCCTGGGTTGCCTAGCCCTACAGCTGGGATGCAGCCCATGATGGCCCTGGTTCTGTGTGCTCAGAGGTCAGGGTCCAGCCCCCTGGAACACAAAACCGCGCACACAGAAAGCTGCCATGACACAGCCAACACGAGGAGGGTAAGTCAGATTTCCCAGTTCCACTACAGAGGTTTCACTGAGCTCAGGGTTTGCTGCTCCGTGATCAGCTGCCCTTCTCCCACTGCCAAAGTGAGGTTTACAACTCAAGAAAACTAGAAAGAGGCTGGAGGAAATAAAGACAGACAGTTACAGATCCCGCGACAGTGACCACAGATGATGACGTGAGGACAGACCAGGGGAGCAATCAGTGCAGAAGGGAGGGCAGCCCTTCCAGGTGAAACTGGGAGAGGTGAGGTCACCTGTGTCCTCGTGCACAAGGGGGAGTGGCCCTTTGTGGCCACGTGGGGGTGTGCAGCACCTGCTACTCTCAAAACACCGGTGTTAGTGTTAGCCTGTGGGTTGCGGTGGGGGCTGACAGAAGAACATCCTGTGTGAGCGGAGAAACAGAGTGCTGACTGGGAACTGTGTTACTGCCACCGCTGTGTGTGGTCCAGGTTTACCACAGCACAGGCTCCTCTTCCTCCTGAGCCGGGCATTCTGTGACCCCACCACGTGGTTCCAGAGCAGCCCTTGCAGCCATAGTCTGTCCACAGAGCTTTTCTAGAAACGCCTTCTCCCCCAGAGACCGAAAAGAGTACCGTTGGTATCCTTGCCTCCAAGTTTGACTGGGCCTGGGCTCTTACCTACCGTCAATACTGTTGTTCCTCTGAAAATGCTTTTCAAGTTTCTGACATGAGTGATACACCAGTTTAAACTGGAGACTCCTTGAATATATGTACAGCATGAATAAGATACAAATTACTTGGCTGAAGAGTCTTGGCCGTCTCGGGCCACAGTGGTATTCGGATGTGGGTTATCCATGAAGCCTAGTTATTTCTTGTTCTGTTGAAAAATCTCACATGCTTTTCAAAACCTGTTGGTGCCTTTTAGCTTTGACAAGTATAGAACCAACTGGGTAGCACACAGTTTGTTTAAAAAAAAAAAAAAGTCAGTAAAAAAAAAAAGAAAACCAAGATGAGATGCTAAAATACAGCAAATGGAACCTGAATGAGCAATTCTGAAAAATCTGGGAAGAAAATGTCGTATCTGCTCTTGCTTTTAGGCCAGTTGTATTTGTAAACTCCAGAACTACTCTAGACGTGTGCACATGTTGAAAAGACTCTCCCCATCCCCAAGAGAGGCAGATTCAGCAGAGGAGGACTTAAAGACTGTACCATATCACGGTTACCAAGCAAATGGCTTGTTCAGTAGGAAAGGGGGTCTATTATTGCTATAAGCTCATAAAGTTTCTTAAGAATTTTCAGTGGTTCTCAAAATCTAGAAGGGTTTGGTAAAATCAATTCTAGGGCTTTACTCTGGAAATGGTGATCTTCTGATTCAGATTTTCTGATCTGATTCAGATCTCAGATCTTCTAGGTTGAGCCTAAGAATTTGCTTCTTAAACCATCACCTGAAGGGCTGCAGTACCCTGAATCAACCCCTTGAGAAATCTCACATTTTTTTAAAAGTTTTATTTATTTAGGGGCACCTGTGTGGCTCAGTCATTAAGCATCTGCCTTTGGCTCAGGTCATGATCCCAGAGTCATGGGATCGAGCCCCACATCAGACTCCCTGCTCAGCGGGAAGCCTGCTTCTCCCTCTCCCTCTCCCACTCCCCTTGCTTGTGTCCTGCTCTCGCTATGTCTGTCAAAAGAAAAAAAAAAAGTGTGCACATGCAAGTGAGAAGGCGAGTGTGGGGAAGGAGCACAGCAGTAGGGAAACAATCTCAGGCAATCACTGAGCGCAGAGCCCTATGTAACATGATGTGGGGCTCCATCCCACGACCCTGAGATCATGACCTGAGCTGAAATCAATAGTGGAACACTTAACGGACTGAGCCACCCAGGCACCCTGAGAAATTTCACTCACTCCTGGATACAGACCTCTCTACCCAAGGGAGAGCAATGGATGCGAGGTTAGTTGCTCCCCACAAGCTTATCAAAGTTACAATTAGTTCCTGTTTCGGGGCCATGTGAAACTCTGGCATCAGTCCCGAGTAAGAGTAAAGTGGCTGAATTAGCAGAGGTTGATAAGAATGAGGTGGTTCAAGCAAAGGACAGAGAAAATACTAAGGGCTTGGCAAAGCTCAGGGTACCTCCCCAAATTTTAAGGATGGTGCCTAGGAGGAGAACATCTGTCTACGGAGTTCATGAGGAATGGAGTACAGTCTGACTTAATGTAGTAAGAAATTCAGGAAAGAAGGAAAACACTGGGAATTAATTAAACTACTCAGGTTTTTACCTCAGACACCAAATGCCTACCTTTCTCTGAGGAATTCACGACAAGCTGGAGTAGTCATAAAAGTTACTTTATAAAAGTGACTGTTCAAATGCTTCAAATACCCACCAGTTTGTGTGGGTCTTGGAGGGACAGGGGGAGAGAGAATTTTCCCACTATCCGACATGTTCTTGGCTTCTTTCCCACTGTCCAGGCTCCAGCTGCTAGGGGTGGGATTCACAGCTGGAAGGGAATAACACAGCTAAAAACACATGGTCCACTTCGCCCTTCGAACACTTGAGATCTTAGAAGAAAGTCGAAATTATCCAGAATGAAAAGATCAACTGGATTAAAAAACAAAACCAAAAAAACCCCCAAAACCTCCTAAACCTTTAATTTTCTACTTCACAGTTGTAGTTGACATTTAATTGGGTGCTAGCATGTCTGTTTAATTCCCCTCAAGCAGTCAGACAAAACTACAGATCTCCACAGGAGAACGGTGGAATCTTGCTGAGAATTACAAATGTGTTTAGATAATAGATAACAGATGGGCGGACACAGTCGCTGAAGTATTTTATAAGTCAGTTTTTAGTGGAAACTTCTGGACAAGTGGCACCCAAAAAGGGGGAAGACAGTAATAGGCTAATATTTCAACTACCTGGCAGGATGAACCACACCATCCTGTTGACCAAATCTTTGGCAAAAGGACCCTTGTTCCAGAAATCAATGGATCAGACTGAAGTATGTCCTTAAAAAAAAAAAGTAATTTGGAATACGGACCGTATCATTCCTTTTTTTAAAAATTTGTCTGTTCCATGCTTCAGTAAGATGCAGAAATATGGAACGACTCCTGTTAGAAGCAAGGGCAAGACACACAAGATTAGAAATAACTGCTAGGAAATCAGGTTTCCAAAAGCAAGTCTTAAGATTGCTAGTGGTTTGCTCCCTGTACAGACACTGCCATCTGATGGACACAGCTGGGATTTCAACATTTTACTCGAAATCACCACATCAATTTCAGGGGATGGAATCACCACTCTTAAAAATTAATTTTTCTCAGTTCGTTTTAAATTGGCTTTGGGGTTTTCCTTGGTAGAAGGGCTGAGGAAAACGCTAAGCTCTCCAGGCAAAGATTAACATTCGACATGTAACATTAAAGCAAAATTTGTGTTTTAAAATCATTTCAGCTACCATCTCCCTAGTTGCAATCTCCCAAGGAAAGTTTTAATGTTAATCTATCTGTGTCGTCCAAGGACAATACAGTTTAGCTCTTAATGAGGACAATTAAAGTGCACTTTATGGGAACATTTCATTAGCGGCTCGAGTCCTGGGCTTACAGGACCGCTCTGAGTTCTGAGGCTTGACCCCGCACGAGGCAAATGGGTGACTTGCTGCTGGCCCCCACCCGCACGGTGGAGGGGGTCACACTGAATCTGCTCTTCATCTCCTGTCACCGATGCTAATTAGCTATTAACCGTTGTGCATGGGTTTCTCATTTTTTTGTATGACCTTGAGGCAGGGCACACTCCATTATGCACTGGATTGCAATTCCTAAGTAGTAGTATAGGAGTCCCCACAAACAACAGATGAACTGGCAGAGTGAGCTCTGTAAGGGAAACAAGGGTGGGACCAGGGAACCCATCTGGGAAGGTGCTATTTTCACTGTGCCAAACAAGTCGCCTCCTCAGCAGCTTTGTTTCAGGGAGCATAGGCATTGCCTTGGTGACGGGACCCCAAAAGCCATTTAACCGAGGGGTTCCTAACTTGCTCAGATTCTGCTGTTCAATTCTACAAGAAAACAGGTTTGAAAGGATGCGTCAGGAAAGACTATCTTTCATGAACCCCCTGAAGGGCAAATTAGTTCCCATCACTAAAGATCCGGAGATCTGCCTTCCACAAAGACACACAATAGACTGGAGAAAATGAGGACAAAACAAAGCCTTACAGTTGCCGGAAGGGGGTTGGGCAATGAAGGGGCTAGCTTTATACCCACCTTTCTCAGGTGCAGAAAGATTCGGGTCACTGCGTGGCAAGGCCCCTTCTCCAATATGATTAAACAGCAGCCTCTGCAAAAGCACAAGAGTCTGTTTTTATGGCACACTATGCCGTGAAGGGAGACCTTCTAGAAAATGAGATGATTGTCTCATAACTGAAACTTTTGGTTCAAAATAATTTTTATATGGTACATGATGAGCCTAGGAACCAAGAATTCAATTATATTTAAGGAAAAGAGGCGAGAAGAGTCTTAAGTTTAAGAAGTTTGTATTTGGGAGCGCCTGGGTGGCTCAGTCAGTTAAGTGGCTGCCTTCGGCTTGGGTCATGATTCCAGGGTCCTAGGATCGAGCCCCACATCAGGCTCCCTGCTCAGCAGAGAGCCTGCTTCTCTCTCTCTCCCTCTGCCTGCTGCCCTGCTTACTTGTGCTCTCTCTCTCTCTCTCTGTCAAATAACTAACTAAATAAGTAATCTTTAAAAAAAAAAGTTTGTATTCGATTTTAAATGTAAGTGGTAAATAAGTTTTCATAATACAATGGAGGAAAAAACAGTAAGCAGCGGTTAAGCTATGGTGCTCTTTATAAATAAGAACGCTAGACTGGCAGTATGAAACATAAGAATTAAGAGATATTAGCTCAAAAAATCTCTAGTGAATGGACATGTGTTGAGTCCTAGGTTAAAAACACGAAATGGACAATATTCTGCGGATTTTAACCCACAAAGATGCCAGTTTTGCATGGTTCCACCTAATACATTAAAAGAAAAAGGGCAGGACCTTAAAAGTGGATACACCATAGCAATGTGTATTATCGGGGTTTTGGCAATGACACACTGCTTCACATTTTACCAAAAGTGGAAAAGCCGGAGGCTAATCAAGGAAGGCTTTCAGAGTCCCCCATGCTGGCAACACGCGCGCTCCTGGAGCAGATGGAACAAAGTGTGAAATTCCCTTGCAACAGCAAGTGACAAAGGGAAGGAAAACTGGTGAGCTGGTTCAGCCAAACGCACTCAGAGAGAATTTCTGCGAGACAGCAGTGTTGCGCAGAGCAGGCATCCTGGGGCTTTCAGGAAGATTACACAATCAGCAAAGATAAACCAATCAAGCCACATCCCACTCGCTCTCATCCATTTCCAGATGCAGCTACAGACTTCTGCCAGGGTGGTGTAGAAAAACAGAAAAATTAGCTGGAACATAAATGAGTACTGTTCTCCACTCCTAAATGATTCCCAAATCATCGGTAAAATGCAGGGCTACCCAAGAATCTCCACGTTGGAAACCACCCTTCACAGTCCCTTAAGTGCCCAGAGAGCTGAGCCCTTGGCCCTGCCCTCACCTGGACTAAGAGGGATGGATGTGGGAAACAAAGGCAGAAGAAAAATTACTAAATTTCCTTACTACCTACAGCCCATTGACACATCCTTGAAATAGGCAGAGGAACATTCCTCTAGCGACTCAACGGCCTACATGTTGACACTTTGCTAAGGACAAAAGGCAATCCTAGCCTAATCCCTCCCCCGACCCCTGGCCCCTAGGATCCTGTAAGTCTACTTTACCATATAACAATCCTTTTGGAAACTTCCTTTATCTCTGACCCCTCCCCCACAGATACATGTTGGCAATCATCCCACAAGCATATCGCCCACTGATACACATCTGAACCTCTCACGACTCACGTTTTATTAGATGGTAATAAATGACCTTTCCCCAACAATAGTTAGTCTCCTCAAGGTTCTGGAAACCTTGCTTCCAAATTCCTTAGAGACTTACGCTATCCCTAAGCCCCTCCCAACTTGAAAGTCTATAATGGGCCACTCCTCATGACCCTGGGGCGCAGCTCTTTCTACCTATGTGTCCTACCCCTGTTCTTTAATAAAATCACTTTTTTGCACCAAAGATGTCTCAAAAGTTCCTTCTTGGCCATCCGCTTTGAACCTAACATCTTTCCTACATCAGGATCACTTCAAAATCAAGTCCTGGCAGGAGCTGAGGACCATGGGCCTTTACTCCTTGGGGTACAGGGAAAGCCTGGGCCCCCAACTGCTTTTCTCTCAACACATTAAAGAATGGCAAAGGTGAACGGAAATTGTCCTTGTGCTCCTGGGTACCTCAGAAAGGAATCAAGTGAAGCTCTCTCAAACTAGGTAGCGGCCAAAAGAAAGGCTGCTGGACGGATCATGTTTCTCCAGGGTCTTTGGCTAATGGAGAAAGTTGCTTGAAATTCCTGGTACACACACGCAAACACTCACAGACACTCCAGCTCATTCACCTAATTACCCCTTGTCCTGTTTAAATAGCAGCAATGAACTAGAGAGCTAGGTCAAGGAGGGAAGAATCATTTCCCATTTTCCGCTCTGCTCGACTGCTCAGGCAACAACCTATGTATCTGTATCAGAAATATGGCTCCAACGGAAACTGTGAACAACAGGCATGGAACAGAGGTTCACTCTTCACTCAGATCGACTTGTTATCTAACAAAGCCCATCTGGTTGCCTCTGGCAGGTACAGGGTTTTTCTGCAGAGATATGTAAGCAATTCCAGACATCAGCTTGTTTTCTAGGATCTCCGTCCCCCAAGGACTACCTGAGAAGGTTCCACAGGTGTTGGGTAGATGGCACTGCACGGTCTCTCTCTCGGGGACAGGCAAGAGTTTTCTCGGGAATGTTTGTGTTTGTCAGACAACAAGGGGGAAGCTGGGAAGAGAAGAAAAGGAAGGATCGTCAGGGTGAGGTGCTAGACCTGCCGGGAGGACAGGGCTTGTGTGCCGTGGCCGCTGGCCATCCTTCAGGAACCCGAGGGCCACAGCTCCCATGTGGCACCCTCAGTCAACCCCACACCCTGCCACTGACCTCTGGCGCTCGAGGGGGCAGAACTTGTCACGTTAGGAGAAGCAGAGTGAGTCGAACTCAAGCTTGAGGTAGATGGACTTGGCTGCAAATACAAAGGAGCTGTTATCACCCACGGCTTAGAGACTCCACACAACACGGACATATTGAAAACAAAATCCCTGCCCTTTCCTTTCAAAGGAGCCAAAAAACAAACCAGAACAAAACGAAATGAAAATGAAAAGCAAAGGGCCATTTAGAACTAGAGAAAAATCTCAGACTGATAAGGAAGTCTTTCTGAATTAATCACGAATTTGAGATTTAAAAACAAAATACTCCAAAAAAAAAAAAAAATCTGAGATTTTGACTCCGGTTAAAGGAACACATTCACGTTAGTTTCCGGGACACCCTGGGACCGAGGAGCAGGTAGCAGTGCCCTTGCTGACTAAGGGACACTGGAAGGACTCTCAGCCGAGGCCACAGAGATAGGGGACTGCTTCTAAAGAGCAGAAGACACCTTCTTGTTTTCTTCAAAAATGTGCTCAAGGCATAAATTTGGCAGTAGGTGCCATGCCCATTTTCTAAAGACAGTGCAGAGGGAAATTTTAGCTGCTTCTTACTAATCAGTGTAAATACTCTATTATTAGTAGGGTCTGAATAGAATTTTGTGTGGCAGGAGTTACCCTAACTAATGTCCTTAAAAACTATTTTGTTTCTTCAGTAAAAATATTTTTATTATGAAAATTTTCTGACAGGAACAGAGGTAGAAGAATTTTATAATGGCCCTCTCAACCATGTACTATGAAGTAAAAAGGCCACTTCGCCAGGCTAAGAGGCAGCTAGTGTGTGGTGACAGGCTCCCAGGGTCCCAAACTGAAGACGCAAACCAGAGGCAGGTTTCAATGCCAACCCTGCACAGTGTGCCTGGGCTTTCCCGTTCTTGCTCACGTCTTCTGAGAGTGGAGGGGGCAGTTTTGGGAGAAACCTCTTTGGAGGGTCCAGAGACCAACAAAGCAGTAAGAGTGTTTAAAGATTTGTCCTTAACTCAACGTTCTTGCTCGCAGATCTGTTCATGAGCCCAGCAGACTGAACAGAAACTCTCATGATTGAGACAGAAAAGGAATACACACGACCAGACGATTAAAAAGCCAATCAAGTACCTGCATGTTAAAGACTTCATCAGAGCTTTCTGATTGCCCTGTAATATTGCTTACTTCAGCAGAAGCTTGTGAGGACAGTGAGGAGGAAGAATATCGGTTGACAGCTGGGTAACTTAATGGGCTGTTTTGGGGGAAAAAAAATGGTCATTAACTCAGTCTCTGAATTGTACTTTACCGCATGCTGGTGTGGTATAAAACCAAAGGAAAAAAATATATACATCCCATTTTGTTGTCTCCTGTTTGCCTCAATATAATCAAATGTTTGAGTTTATTTATTTCTCATGCTGTTGCTGTTTTACCAGTGACAGATGTCTGCAGCTGCCTCGCGGGTTAATTATTTCATTAAGAAATAACGTATTTGACAAATTGTGCCATAAAGAATGAGAGAATCATTCCAGATCATCTTGTGGGGATGCCAAATTGTAAGATAATTCAGAATATGACTTACCTGCGTCTAGGAATTACCCTGGTACCATCTGGGCTCATGGAAGCAGGGGCTGAGTTTCTACACACGCGGGGGCTTCCATTAGGAAAATGGACTGGACTGGCTTGTATACAAGCAGAGAACTCCTAGAGAGGGAGTGAAGGAAATATTTTAGATGAGCAATCGTAGGGGCAAAATAACTTGTGAGGTATTTTAGCATATTGTTATGAAATCTTTATGTAAGTTTAAAAAGGTTAAGTTTTGGTATTATTAAGCTTTCTCGCCCTTTTTTGTTCTCATAAAAGTTGAACAGGGCAAATAGAAGATGATGCAAAATTTTAATACTGGAGGACTCCATGGTAAGATGGTGCAGTTAGATAGAAAAACCAAAAGATGTCACTATTGGATACTTCATCGTCCCTCTAACAAAAAGCAACCGGCAGTGGTCAGACTGCCCCCTATGGACACTTTGGGTACATACCTGAATCCCTAAACTTGACTTCATCACAAAGAACTGGTCGACCAGCTTTTTGTGTAGGGGTCTCATATCTTGAGGTACAAACTTCTCGTGCACGGCCAAACCAAATTCCAAAATCTGTGCCTTGAGAACGAGACAAGGAAAAAACCCACATCGATGAATAACTCCACCAAGTGCCTGCTAGGGGTCAAGCACTGTACCATGCACTCTGCATCTGCTATAGCTAATCCTCTCCACCCCACAGAGGAGCAATCCTTCATTTACAGGTGAGGATCAGAACAATCCTGCATGTACTAATAGACAAATGGGGATTCAAACTGAAGTCTTTCTGATCTTCCTGCTACCCAAAGTTTCTTTGCAGTATATTTTAGATCTGGAATAACAACCCTTTTTTTTTTTTTCAGTTTATTATTTTTCTTAATTTTTTATTTCTTTTCAGCCTAAAAGTATTGTTTTTGCACCACACCCAGTGCTCCATGCAATCCGTGCCCTCCCTAATACCCACCACCTGGTTCCCCCAACCTCCCATCCCCCAGCCCCTTCAAAACCCTCAGGTTGTTTTTCAGAGTCCATAGTCTCTCACGGTTCACCTCCCCTTCCAATTTCCCTCAACTCCCTTCTCCTCTCCATCTCCCCTTGTCCTCCATGTTATTTGTTATGCTCCACAAATAAGTGAAACCATATGATAATTGACTCTCTCTGCTTGACTTATTTCACTCAGCATAATCTCTTCCAGTCCCATCCATGTTGATACAAAAGTTGGGTATTCATCCTTTCTGATGGAGGCATATAACTCCATAGTGTATATGGACCACACCTTCCTTATCCATTCGTTCGTTGAAGGGCATCTTGGTTCTTTCCACAGTTTGGCGACCGTGGCCATTGCTGCTATAAACACTGGGGTACAGATGGCCCTTCTTTTCACTCCATCTGTATCTTTGGGGTAAATACCCAGTAGTGCAATGGCAGGGTCATAGGGAAGCTCTATTTTTAATTTCTTGAGGAATCTCCACACTGCTCTCCCTTCTAAGCACTTATGTGTCGCTTGGCCCCCGTCTACATTGCACAGGACTGGGAAGGAGTTGCTCCCCAAGGGATCTCTTCTCTGGATGACACTCCCTTTTCCACAATACTCTTTTCTCTTCCATCAGGTTCTGCTGTGCTTATCCATCCCCCCCCCCCCCCCCCCCCCCCCCCCCCCCCCGCTCAAGATTTCCAAAATTTGTTGAGGAAGACATGCAGGTAAAATGGGAACAGAAATTCCATCATATTGCTATGCTTTTTGTTTTTGTTAAAGAACGATTATTCTGGTTCACTTATAATGCAATAAGGAGCAGCTCCTACTTAAAAAAGGGGAGGGGTGGTTTCCAGTGGTGAAGTCCCAAAAGAGATAAACACAAACGTTCAAGTTTCTTTTGTTCTTCAACTATGAATACTGCTTAATTCCTCTGAGTGTCAGCTGCCTTTTACATTAAAAAAAAATGCCCCGGTACTAAAGTGGTCAGAAAAACAAATTTCATGGACTATGAGGAAAGCATATCATACCATGGGTTTTATCACACTGGGTTTTATCTTTATATCTTGTGAAGATTTAAGATTGAAAGTTCAGGTCAAACAGGACTGAACCTGGTGGGTTAAAGTGTCCAGCACCTTCTGTAGGGGGACAGGACTGTGGCAGCCCCTATCCACTGCCAGCATATCTGCATAAAGATAAAAATACCTCAAACCTCAAGGACACCTTTAAAGGGAGTAGTGAGAAAAAAAAAAGAAAAAAAGGAGTAGCGAGGGTGGAGTGGATGTCTGAGGGGTAAAGGAAGGGTCTGATGAAGGGAAAAGGGCATGGAAGAGTTGACCTCAAGGGTAGGAATCCAGTTTTTAAACACTCGCTATAAGGCAAAGTCTGTTTTGTCCAAATCACGTCGAAGGTTGGGTTCTCCCAGGAGTAGACTCTGGCATGGAGATGAGGATGTTTACTGAGGAGTCACCTGGCATCACTGTCTGTGTGAAGGAGGCGCAGAAGCAGGACTGACTAAAAAGAATCTGGGAACATGGAAGTCATGTCAGCCTCTGCCCACACCAGGGGATCTCTGGGCCTCAACCAGGCTGTGAGAGTTGTGCTATGTTGGGCCCAGATGGCCGGGCTGTTTCTTCCTCAGTCACTGGATGCAGGACAGCCAGGAAGGTGGTGATGTTGGGCCAGGAGGCATTCGGCAGCTGAGGCAATGGCTGAAGGAGCAGAGTACCAATAGTGTCTGTCGATGGCCACCACTCCCAACAGCTGGCTCAACAAGTCCTTTCTGGAAGAGCCACTGGGGCAGAGCATTTCCGAGGCCCCCAGGTAGTTTATCTGAATCACCTCACAGAGATCCAGCCGAGGATGGTGGCCTCGGCTAGCCTAATCCCCCACTGCTATGGTCTCAAAGAGATGGTGTGATCGCCCAAAGTCACATGGCAGTCACTTGCACCGCTTATCCTATGACAGAGATCTAAAGTCTCCTATACCAAGGCTCTTTCCACAAGGCCCTATGAACATCAGACAGGATGTGGAGCAAACAAAAGTTCCCAATTTATTTTTCTTGAGAGTCTTCTTGGCCCTTTTAATTTTAATGCAGGGGAAAGAATTCAGTCAGACTGAACACCAATTGACTCCTGCAGTGAGACAAGCCACTCACAAGAGACTGTACTCAGGTTAAATACTGATTTTTGAATATCAACAAAGGCCACAGTCATTCCATAATCCAAAGAACTGGATAAACTAACTTGCTCACTTCTAGTATCTACATGAGCCCCAGGGCCACATCGAGAACTTAACTTATTCTCGATTTCCTTGCAGGTCACCTTAAAGTAACTCCTTTCTTTTTTCCAGAAGCTGCATAACTGACCCTCTTCCAGCCATGGTACCTATCCATGACCACTTCTGTCTCCCCAGTATTAAGTTCTGTGGATTAAGCCTGCAGAGCATAAAATGATGAAAATCAGATCCAACCTCATCATTTTCTTACCCAAAAGGGCATGCCTTATTTGTTGATTAATTTGGTATTATCAAGTAGAAGGAGATGCTTTGGTCACATTTTTTCATATGTATTCCACTGTTTAGGAGTGTTAAATGTCCTTATTTCCTATTTACCTCAGCCTCTTAACTATCATGTCTCCTACCTAGGTTTTCAAACCATTTTCAGGCCGAGAGCTAGCTGCAAGAACACAGCTGGCAAGAGATTACTCTAGTTCTTTGTGCTTGCTGGAACTATATAAATAAAAACAAACTATGCTTTTTTGGAATAGAAAATGATGCGTTTGTTATCTCATTTTGTCCATATCCTACCATCTATAGGCTTAGTCTTTGTTTTAAAGCAAAGTCTATTGATTGCCCGTTCACTGGAACACTTAAGTAAGAATCTCATTCCTTCCCTCATTCATTTACCTATTCATTTATTTTAAGTTGGCCTGAAATTATGGGAGCCCAAAATTTTGAGTGAAAAGTTGGCATCAAGCCTATAGCAAGCCTTTAGGGAGAGAATGTTCAAACAGTATTCCAAGAGACTACATGAAATTGTCTGTCATAAGGGGCTGCCATAATTTACTGTTAAATTTATTTTTGCATCGAACTGGAGAGTAGAAGTGAAAATGAGCAAGGTGGAATACATTACAGATGAATCTATAACCTTTGGCTGACCGCTTCTATTAGAACACTGATACAGAAAACCAGGAAATGGGTCTCTGGGTAACCATGCATATCTAGGTAGGAAAGAGCAGGTGACCGGCTTCTGTCCCAACTTACCTGCTCAAGCATCAGCTCTCTTAACCGTGCAATTTTCTCTCCATCTTCAGGATGACTTAAGATATATTCTTTGACAAAAAATGCCTAGAAAGAGAATGGAGAGTCAGTTTACTTCAGGAAAGTTAAAAAGTGAGAGACACAGCTGCTTCTAAAGGCCTGGCATCTTGGAAGAAACACCACTGTCAACCACATTTGTAGGGCAGGAGGAACGACTCCTACTGTGGGCAGCTGGTCAGAAAGGGAATACAAGGAAAGGATTGTTTAAGGGAGAGCAGCAATCGTGTAAATAAGTATCTGTGGTAAAGCAAGCAAACAGCAAATCCAAATCAATGAACATTATATCCTAAAATAAAGTGCTTTAAGATTCAGTGTGACAAAAATGGTGGCCTCTCACCTTCCAGGCTGCTGTGGCTTTCTGTTTAAAACCACAAGGGCAGATGAAAATCCGTTTAAAGTATCTTCTAAACAAGATCAGACATGTCTATGCCTGTGAACCTCCTTGGTCAGGGAAATGGTTTAAGGTTGACATTTATTAAGTAATTTTTATAACCTGATCACTTTATTTATCCAAGAA